CCACTATGGAGAGTTAAAGCTGCTGACACCTTGATATTACTAATGTATTTTAATGTTAAGTATAAAGTGTTTCAAGGTATCATCTGCTAAAAACAAACAACATTACAAAGACAGCAAATGAGATGGAATTTACGCTATCTTTGAGCACAAGCACAAATCAATTTTGCATAGTAACAATGTTCTGCAGGGTATGCGGTAAAAGTACCTGCTCTCGATCCAGGCCGGTGATCTGCAGGTCGGCGATGACCATGGACACGTTGGTAAACTCCTGGTACGCGCAGCTGGTGGTGGTGGCCAAGGGCTCCGCGCATTGGTTCTCCAGGTACTCGACTCCCCAGGGTCCCGCCCGGAAAGCGTCGGGCTGCGAGCGCCGGTCCTCAGCGCTCAGATAGCACGCCCCTGTCCTCGAGTCCCAGCGCGCCGACCGGCACTCCCAGCCGTCTGCAGGAGTCAACGGTAGCAGAGCGTATGAGTGAGGACCGCGTTACTCAACACACCAGCAGCGCTCACCGGTCAATTGAGTGGGGTGCTCACCGTGTGGCTTGATGCACTCCTGCAGGCACTCGTTGCGGCTGACGGGGGAGGCGATGGTGAGCCGGTCCCAGCCCACCAGCTCGTACCCCGGCACCCGCTCAGCCGCCCACGCCCTGGACGCGCACCGCGACCCGGTGCCGCGCACTGCAAAGACCTCGGCATGAACATGCAGTCCGTTAGCGCTCACCGGTCAAGAGGGACTCTCTACTCACCATTGAGACAAGCGCGTTCGAAGTACGTAGACGCCGGTGCGGCTGCGACGGGGGTGTCCCCGGGCTGGTCCCAGGAGCTGGGAGACAAGTGGCTGACTCGGAAGCACGCGGACCGGGCGTGGTCCACCAGGAAGGCGCGGCAGTCCCCCGACTCGCGGCACCTGCGGACGTCCCCCGTCGAGTTACACAGCTGCGCCAATGCACCTCGGCTGCGGTGCAGCGGGGCCGCCGACGGGGCTACCGACCTGTTGTAGCACTCGGCGGTCACGGCGTTCCCCGGGCTGGAGTACATGAAGACGCGGTAGTGCGGTGCTAGCGTCGCTGGCACCAGGGCCGTCATCTTCACCCAGGTGTCGTACTCCGGCGGGCAGCTCGCCGGCGGAGGGCCGTCGGCCGCCCACAGTGGCGCCACCAGCCCGGCCAGCGCCAGCAGGAGCAGCAGGGGGCGGCGCGCCGCTCGCCCGGCCCCCGACGCCCCGGCCCGCGTGGCGCCGCCTCCCGCCGCCTCCATGACCCTGCCGCGAGCGGGCGGCTAGGAGTGGGCGCGACCGTTGGGTGGCATCGCAATCTGCGCGTTACAAAACGGATCACAAAACGAACGATCAGAGCATCACATTCACAACAAAGCAACCGCGTAGTCGGACAATAGACACTTCGCTCGCATATCAATAGAAAACATTTAGGCATGATCTCTAACCGCCTCCTAGACGGAACTGAAACGCAAGTCGATCGATTCGCTCCGGGATTTGATCGGGAATTTGTCGGGCGTTTCGAGCTAAGACAAACAGTGTTTACGACTCGGGTAATAGTTGTGGGCATTCCCAGTGCTCTCGGGCATGAGCAGGCTGACGCAATCGCAAGGGGCCCTACTAGCAGGTGTACTCTAAATCTGAAGTTAAAACCGCGCTCCCGTCTCGGTCTTTCCCCGCGCCGCTCCGCTCCGCCCCGTCCCCCCACCTCGATATTCCCACCCGCACGTCGGACGACTGGACAGTGAGCTTCCGATTCATGACCAATGTATACTGCACAGTGCAATAAAGCTGATGACCGTGTGCGTGTCCTTGTCCCTCCCCCTCTCCCTCTCTCCGGTTCGCACACCACACAGAAGGACAAGGCCGCGGCGGTGCAGGGCGGTGCAGAGTGCGCGGGTGCGGGCGGCCCCCCGGGTGACGCCATGCATCCGCTGGGCGTGGCGGGGCAGGGTGGAGTGGGCGGGGTGGGGCGGGGCGTGCTATCGGTCGTGTTGTCAGCGAGCTGCTTTCACTTTTCTGCGCGCCCTTCGACGTATCACACTCGGGGCCGGTTTGCTTCGCGTCCGCGCCCGCTCCCTCCTCCTCCGAGGTTGTCGAACGCATGATGGACCTCGTCTGCTCGCGGGGGGAGAGGGCAGCAGCTGATTGCTCCGCGGCACGTCACGTCACGTCACACGCGCACAGCGCAGCACAGCGCAGCGCAGCGCAGAGACACGCGGCGGACGCGGAACAGGCGCGGAGCGCAGCGGCGGCGCTCGCGGCCGGGATGCACGCGGCTCATCTCGTGGGAAGAATCAATTTCCTTCGCGCTGGATTCCCTGCAGAGCGCGCGTGCTCCACGCCGTGTCTCCAATTAGCGACGTGCGGCGCGGCGCGGCGCGGCGAGCATAACCCCGCGACGGGCCGAGTGAGATTTCTAGTCGGTTTGTCGTCGGCACTAAACCACGAGCCGCCGCGAAGGGATTTTCCCTCCGCTCGAGAGCGAAGGAAAAGGGAAGGAGAGGAGAGGAGGATAACGAGTGCGCACAGCGGGGCGGTGGTGACGGCGGCGAGGGAGAGCGGAAGAAAATTGAGAGTTGGGGATGAAAAATGGTGCTGGTTCGGCTTTGCGCGGCGCTGCTCAACTTGTTGACGACGTCCGCGCGACTCGGACAGGAGAAGAGCAGAGCATTTCTGAAGGCAAGGCGTGAAGTGAAGCGGGCCCTCCGCGGTCACGGGCACATTCCAGAAGGACGAAACGTAGACATACAATGTTTTTCCCGTGCATGCAGCAGCGTGCACGGACTGAGTGCGTGGAGTGCGTGGGTGTGCGCGCGTAGTGCAGTGCGTCGTGCACCGCGGGCGGTCACGTGACCGTCATAAGAGAGGCGTTAAGTGTCGGTGAGGCCGCGGGGCGCGGGACGCGCCAAGGCTGGCGGCGGAGGGACTCAAAGGACTCGCGCCGACAGGGAAGGAAGTGAGCGTCTCTACCGGGGCAGAAGGACTCTCGGCGGGGGAAAGACACCATGAACCAAACGCAAAACCCCTTGGAGCAGCAGGCAGTCGGGTCTGGAGTCGACTCCCCCGCGTACCCCACCCCTGCCTTTCCTCCTACACTCCACTACACGATCCCCCGGAATGGTTTCGGCTCGCCGAACCACTGCACTGGGCGGCCACAGGAAATGAGACGGGAAGAATGTTGGGGGCCAGGCGGGCCCTTCTTGGCATCCCTTCGGAAGGGCTCGCCGTATACTCCGTCGAGCGCGCTTTTGTGTGTGTGTGTGTGTGTGTGTGTGTGTGTGTGTGTGTGTGTGTGTGTGTGTGTGTGTGTGTGTGTGTGTGTGTGTGTGCTGGAGTAGCAGTCTCGAGGGAAGGGGGAGGGCCAGACGCGGGGGAGGGGGACTCGACTGACCCACATTCGTCGTATGTGTCACAGTGATAGCAGCGGAAGGTCAGGACTCGCACGATGCTGCTACCAACGCCCCTCTCCCCTCTCCCGACCACCACTACCACCACCACCACAGCCACCACCACCACAACTAACAGCGCCGAGCGACCGACGACTTTGTCATACGAGAAAAAAAAAACGTGTCGGTTTGGCGGACAAAAGAATTGCAGGCCTGTCCGGTAGCCGCGCCGGCGAGGCTGGAGTGCAGCTCGCTGCAGCGCTGCATCCCGCGCTCGCTCGTCCAGCGGCACGGAGGCTCATCCCTGCCTCCTCATTGACCCCCACCGACCCAGCACCAAGCGGGCGCGCCGAGGCGGTGCGGGGCGCACGGTGACTCAGTCGGGGACTCGGGCCCCAGGAGCACCAATTGGTAGGCAAAGCAGCACACGGCGGCCCGCCCCGCGGGGGACCAGGGCGAAGGACGCTGACGCAAGGGGACTCATTCTTTTTTCGAGGAACGTCACCGTGTGTAGTTTATACGGCGTTCGCACGTCTGCCCTCTTCCGCAGAAATAAACTTAACTTAACCTACCCCCAGGATCTGCTATTTGGTCCCACCCCAGCCAGCCCCAACTTTCCGCCGTGAATCTCTGATGAGGTGGCATTGTCCCAGCCAGACCTGGAGAAGAGCCCCCCCGGCCCTCGGTGACGCGTGCCCAGCCCGTGACAGCTGCCATTGTCAGCGAAGAGCGGCAGCTACTCCGCGCCGCCTCAATACCCTGTTTAGTAAATAAACAAAAGCGTTTCCGGCAGCGGCCATTATGCACGGGGATCATTTGCATCGCGGTCCTTGAGCCGCTGATGGATGGGATACAGCGGCTGGAGATGTGAAAAGCGAGATAGCGCGCCTGCGAGCCTCTGGTAGGCCACGCCGCAAGACACGCATGCGTTGCTGGCCTGCCTACCCACCACTCTGCGGGCGCTCCCGCCTGCGAACCTCCGGTAGGCAACACCGCAAGACACGC